GATCATATTAGTATACTACTTTGAGTGCAAAAAATTTTTATAATTATGATCGATGAAGTTATATTTATGCTTCTGTATTATTGCTGTGCTATATATCATGAGATTATGTATTTTGGAGCAGCATTGCAAAGCCTTCATGCGGGAGTATTAAATTAAAATTAATTAGTAGGGTAATATAATTATGGTGGCCGCTGGGATTGTAATATCGGAATATAGGTCGGCAAAACTAAATTTATGGTCTCGTCTAAAGATTTATATGATTATATTCGATAGAAAAATAATGCTTTTTGTGATGACACGCGTTATTCGTCACATGGGTGCAACGAAACAGCTTTCTCATTCTCAGATGTAGGAAGAGATTTCGCGAAGATTGCATCAACATCTCGAAATATTTCCCTGTAACTGACAGATATAGCCGCACGACAGAATCATTTTATAGGTGACATTTTAAGCTGATATTTTTCAAAAATGCACACGGTGATTGAACGCTTCTTGCGCTTCTATGATTAAATGTTCTGATGAAGAGTAAAAGTTCATAGTTACATAGTTTTTTTGCTCACGTAGCTTTTAATTAAAGGAAATTACAAGAATTATCACTGTTTAGACATTACGTGTTCAATAAAATAACACATTTTGCTAGCATATTGAAATCTAAACTTTAAATATCGCAAATTGTAGACATTCTGGAAAACTTCGCTACATTCACTACAGCTTTGAATTATTCATATAAATTATGTTCTACTTTACTTTTAATATAATTCTTATTATACATTAAATTTTTGTTACCGTGCATACAATAATTGTTTTTAATTAGAGACATTTTTTATAAGAAATGGAATAAATAATATATTATTACAATAATATTTAGGATTAGATTGAAGTTTTCATTTCACTCGTATGTGACGAACATACGGGCATAATTCCACTAGCGTGATTCACGTTAAGTGAAGGTAAGAACCTTCCGGCAATCTCGCACGGTGTGAACGTCGGAATTATTGCGTGATTCCGTGATGCCGAGACTGTCTTTATGGGCGGCACCGCAAATTATAATGACAAAGATTATAGTCCGTCCTCTTTTCGAGGCAACACGTTGGCAACGATGTCAGCGTCAGTGCAACTATTATTGCTGATTGACGATGTGTCATCCCCGATAGCCCTTGTGTTCACTTTTAAGACATAGGATTAGTCGAAGGCGGCCATGGTCGTTTGATATTACCTTTGTCAATTGATCTTCATGACATCAGCACGCGATGTCCTTTACACAACTTTGCATTGATAATTGCAATTCTTTAATTACGGACGCAAGTTACGAAAACATTCCTTAGTTCTTCGATTTTATCTTTTTAAATTATTACCCCGCTCGTTAAGCGCGCGTTAAGTGATCGATGATGCGGGGAGATGTCTTTATTCCGGTGTCACCATGATTCTTTTTATCTCATGATTCTTCTCGCTACTGACGACCGCTGATAAATCACGACGACGGATAATGACTATCGACTACCAAGCAACTTCTGCTGACTCGACACTATTCGTGAACATCCCGCGCCATCTAATTATTGCGATCCGTGTAGACGCGAGACGTGTACACGAAAGTGTGCTTTTGTAGACGTTACCGCGGTAACCATCTGTAGGAGTGTAATTCTCAGCGTGGAAACTGGCAAACAAAGAACTGGCATTTGAATGCCAGCGACTACAACTCGCATCTGGTATGATCGGGCACGGACTTCGTGATTCTAGAGAATCGAGGCTTCTCCGTTTTAAATCTCTATTTCTTAAGTTAATTACATTTAGATCACTGTTTCAATACATAGTACAAAGCACAACCTACAAAGTAAATTGAATATTGCTTAACTTTCGGTGCAAGATTACTGCCAATTCTTCTTTCTTCTTTTTATTTGAGATTGATTTACGTTGCATATAATTGCATATTATTTTTACGATGTCGATGAAAACGAGAATAGATTAATTATATAAATGGCCGCGAATATAATGAGAAAGTAAATTGTAATTTAAAAGAATCAATCGATCAATTTAATTTGTAAAATTGTTTTTTACTAGCAAAGTAATGATCGAATAGACGCACATGGAAGATCGCACAAAAAAATTAGCTGCTAATGGAGAAAGTAAAATAATGTGATCGTAGGTCAATGACCATTACTTTTGAAATTTCATTAATAACGACAGGCAGAGGAAGTCGCGTGCAAATTGCAATATTAGCGTCTGACGAATTGCAGAAATACTAGTTCCGCTTTAGCGTGTAAATTATGGTCTTAAATCACGATATTAAATTATTGACCGCATTGGAATTACTTAATTTTTGCAACTATATTTTTGAAAGTGACAGAAAAAAAGTAATGGAATAAACATAAGGCAGGATTTTATCGAATCGATAATATTAAAATTAGTTCCGATACAATCCTTACAAGCGTGATTTATAATATTGAAGTTTTAAATCAGAAAAGTGTTATCCTGACATACATATGTATCTATTAACATAAAAACGGAATATAAGTATTATAGATACACTCTCTATATATTTCAATGCATGCGCGTGCCATATTTTTTTTAAATACCACGAGAAAACTGCAAGCATTCTTTTGACGTGAAGAATATTTAATAATAAGTTGATTAAATAGTATACAAATTCATGTTACAAGTAGAAATCACAGATGAAAGTTACGGATATAGTTTCGATAATAACAAAAACTGGTATAAAGAGAAATCTCTATTTTATTCTTGAGAAACATTATAATTTAAATGTACAAAAGTGAGAAATTTTAATTGTGGCTTCCTCTTGATTACTAGGAATCAGTACCATGTAATTTTGTAAACATATAATTAAAGTAGCTTACATAGTTTTAAACTTTTACTTATCATCTTGTCGATGTTGATATAGCTTTGATATTTATTTTGATAATAATTATTATTAATTAAATATAATTTTTATTGATTAAATATTGATATATACATGTCATGTGTCAAATAATTTAATTGATGTATTAGTAGAATGCTATTGTGCGAATATCGATAAGAAATCAAATGGCTTGTGTATACAAATAGTCTACGTATAAAACAATGATGAATCTAACTGGTCTTCGTTTTTACGCAATCTAATTGAATAGACTTGAATTGTTAATGATTGAATGAGCAATAATTTATGCTATTATCGAATAATTATCATAATACATATGCAATTACATATATTTATCAATTAAGTTTTCAAGTTTAGCTACTGAGAATAAATACTCATAATAAGAAAATAATTGCTTATAAATACTCTCCTAATTGTAAAGTTTTATAGTTGCGCAACTATTTATTAGCAAAATATGACACATACACACATTCACACTCTTTTAAATGCGAAAATATTAATTTTTTAAGACACTAAACATAATTCGTAATTTTTTCTGAATTTCTTATTTTTACTATTAATACATTTTTCATATTTTTGACGAATAATTTAATTAAAACACATACTAATCGACAGTAAAGATGTCACTGTCTCTAAATTTTTCAATTTCACTATTGATAAAATTTGCTTTTACAGAATAAATTATTTTCTTTTAAAAGCCAAAATATTTTTTATAATAAATGCATTTATATATTGTTATTTCAGTATTTGATAAAATTTTATATTATCTGTCATAATTGCTTTTATAGATTTAACAAGCAAAATATTTTTTATAGCGATTGTACAGAACAAAATACGAATGACTAAAGGACTAAAGAGAAACACTTCCAGAATACTTATGAAAAGTACGAAATCACTGTAGTGAGAGTGTTTACGTAATACGTTCGTTTTCTTCTGTCAAGCTCAGATCTTTTCATATCTATTTCAATTTCCTCCTCATCTTCACCTTTACCACCCACGTGTATCTACTTGAATAGCGTAAATGATTTCGTGATGATTTGACCGGCAGTTTAGCACGTTCTCTCTTTAGAATATTCCGCTATAGAAATTGAATTGCACTTTTCTACGAACTTGTATATGTTGCTTATTACGATAAATGAAAAACATTTATTTGGTTGAAGAGCATATTTTTTATAATTTTAATTATTAGATTTTCAATTTATTATAGTTTTTATTATTAATAATATTTTTAATATCACGAAGTAAAGATTCTTATTTTATATCTTTTATTTGCCTGAAAAACAACAGATATATTTACATATATATTTTAAATAATTAAATACATTATTAACATCAGGTGTAATAGCGTTTACCGAATGTTTTGATTCCTACTGTCGATATAGTATTTGTTATCGATAAATTATCCTCCATTGGTAAGCTGGTTTCTACTGTAGAAATTGTCGGATTTGCAGGTTTCAAACTATTTCTGATGTTCTCGCAATACGGAAGAATTAATTCTTCAAAAGGTATAAAGTAAAACGTAATTTTTTAATCCAATTAATTCTTTAAATAAAATTTGATGGTACAAAGCAGTAATTGGTAATTTTCAAAAACGTTTTTCTTTACATTTTACAAATAGTGTTGCATTAAAATTATTTCAATATCTCATACAGTTAAAATATATGAATAATGTATATACATATATTTCTTAGACAATAAGCAAATCTTAGAGACATCTAAAAAACGTCCAAAAAAACGTTAGAAAGAAATGACGTCCTTTGAACATCTTTCAGATGTCTTTAAAATTTGCGTGTTGTTGCTGGGTTTATAATCTATATCACGTTTTGTTTTTTAACTTTAACTTTTAAAGAAATAATAATAAATAACAAATTTTTTTTCAAGTACATATTTATGTAAAAGATATCTTTTCTTTGAGGAATTATATGGAATGTAATCTTTACCTGTAGAGACATCTATCCATACTTTTCTTACATCAATGTAATAAGATACATAAGAATCAGAGGATACTGATAATGAAAACAGGATACAAATATATATATGTAATAAATTATTTTTTTATTGCGAAATTTTGTATAAAATTTATAAATACGTTAATAATTTTACAATATATAAATATATTACATCTTGCTTGAGTTATAAATAAGTAATACTGCGAGAAATAAAAAAGAATCGTCTCCTCTACAAATAATAAATACAAATAATGTCTTTCACGAATAATCTATCGCTACGAAAACAGTGATCACTTGTCACTAGCGTACAATAAATATGTTTATCGGCATGACTGATTATCACAAAATGCAACCAGGAATCCTTCGGATCGATACTGGTTGCGGAATACCTTTCAGATAGAGATAAGATAGATACTACGTCGATTTGAATAAATAAATAATTAATATACAATAATAATGAAATAAATAATCTGCTACAATGAAAGAATAAATACTACGTACTAAATGCCCAATAGAGACGTGATAATAAATAATTAGTGCAATAAATAATTTAAGAAATTTTCACGGACTAAGACGAATTCGTAATCTTCGATTTCGCAATAGTCGCTACGTGATCAACGACGACAGTCAATGGCTTCAATGTTTTACTGCATTGTCATGCAGATAGTGACGCGCTTTTACGACTCTAGCCGCGACAGGCACTGTATCAATAATTTACAACAGTTGCATACGCGTTAGTCCGATGCATCTTCGCGTGCCATCTCTAGAATGATCGATGATCCGCTGACGACAGTCTAATATTTCTTCTCCTTATCTTTAAAACTTGAACACGTACCTCCAGGCATCTAGGTAATCTCGGTATTTGAGAACTACGCCCCAATCTCTGATGAGCCTCCTCGTCTCATCGACGGGGTTTCGCTCGATGTCGTTCATAATGTTCCTCTCCACGCGTCCCAGTAGTTGTATGAACGAAATAGCGTTTATGTTGGATTCTACTTCGCACAACATGTTTCTCAAAGATTTCTGAGTTGACTTAAGAGCATGCTTGCGCTCAACCTCAGTCTCGTCTTCGATTAATTGCTCGAATGCCACGGCAAATTTCTGAAGATTCATGTGTAACTGCGGAAAATGGTCAATAATCTGCAAAAAAAATGTTATTATAAAATTATTGCTTTGCTTTTGACATATTTGAATATCGCAAAAACCGCTCACTTAAGCTTGCTAATATTCACGCGTTTTCTTCAAGCATTAATAAACTACGATTTAAAAATGAATCACGAATATGAATAGCATCACTTTGTCTTACGTAGGTGATAAAACTATTAATATTAACTGTAAACAATGTTCGCGTTAGAAATTATTTTATCACATTCACATGAATATTTATGAATATGTCGTAAAACATTATTTTACTGCCGTTTCAAGAATTGAAAAGGAAAATCTAGCAAAAATGGTCATGAGATCAAATACGTATAAATTTAGAAACTCATCATTGCACATAGAATTTTTATTTATTTTTCTCGCGCAATTATGATACTTTATTGGAAAAGTTATACATTTATAAAAATCTTATTTGAGTGGACATTCAACACATTACTTTAGTACAATTTTATCTAACGAAGACTTTAAAATAGAAAAACAATGCACAATAGATTATCAGTGGACACCGCAATTTGAAGAATAATTCTGCGATCAATGAAATGACTTATTTATTAATATTTATGTGTGTTATCAGCGATTAGTTGTCGCGATAAAATTTTTCAGAAAAAATTGCATCTACCGTGAATAGGCAACTAAATTCTTAACAAAGTGCATCATCGCGGATCAATGTTTCTGTAGTCGGTGATCGGGGCGTGGCAGAGAGCGGGCAAGGGGGCTGCGTGTCGGCATCCGGGGAGTACCGCGGGTCGCGATATCGGGCTGCGTTATCAGCATGCTTGCATCGAGAAGGCAGACGAGCGCGATTACGCAGCCGCGCGACCCGGCGAACATGAGTGCACATGTACGGCCGCGTTGCGCGCGCACTGCACGAGAACCGCATTCGCTCCTGCTCGCCTGCTACTTTATAATAATTACCGTCTCATTAAAATTTGTTATTTAACGTTGCGTTAATCAATTGCAACCGGGTGGTCAGCGGGCCGGCCGGTTGCTGAAAACGCGACGGTGGTCTGTAACGCGCAACACCGTTCTCATTTTCCCGTGCACTCGTTCTTCGTTTCTCACCTGCACGCGGTAGGATCTCGTTCGGGTTGCTCTTTCGTTTCTGCTGCACGGTAACGGCGATTACGTGCGATGAATATTAATGTTGGCGAAGAAACCGACGACATGAGGTATAATGTCGCTGACATTGGAGGATAATAAGAAACGTGTGATGCGGAACAGCGAAGAACTCGGTTAACAATGTTGCAATAAGCCGCAGTGCTACGCGGAATAATATCTAAGGATGTCGATTGGAAGCGAGATTCAATTTAGAGAAGTTTGTTTGCGCATCAAAAAAGAGTTCTTCGATTGCGACGTCTCTTCACTAGTGAAATAACGTGTGGTAATTTGTGTCGTGTAATAATGTTAAGAGTTCTCGAACGGCTGTGTAAACCGTTGTGTGAAACACTTAAATTGGCAAGCTTAAGTCGCGGTTTTTGAAACATGTACAAAGTAAACATGCAACAATGTTAATTGAATGCCTGCACTCACCGTTTGAGGGCTACTGTCGTTCAGTTTTCTCACAGTATTTGCGTCCACCCTGTCGGGCACCCAATTAGGTATGTATTGATGATCGAGGACGCCGATCCTAACTTTCTTGTACAGGCTCCCGTAATTTTGCTCCAAGTAGTTGTTCAGCGTCAGACGATATTGCACCTTGATCCTGTCCAATCTGGTACTTATTTCCTCTTCAGATTCCTCCAATGAGTTCATATCTTCGTACTCGAATTGGCCGCACGGCAGGTACCACATTGGCACCCTTCTGAATAATCTGCTCGGAGCGGCAGACGTGACAGCGAGGATGACTGCGATTAGGCAAACTCTCTTAAGGAACATGTTCGAATTTGTTGTCGTGAATTTCTTGCGATTGATTTCGAAGGTTCGGCGACGATCTCGTTGAATCGATTCGTAAGGAATGCGCTGTATGGCACTGAACAGTATTCTCGATCGACGTGAGATCGTGAACTGAGATTGTCAAACTCTCGTGCTTCCTCCTTATATATGGGATTGTGTAAACAATCGAACATGTACGTACGCATGTTCGACGTTTCGTGCGGTGAAACGGTGGGGTTGCAGCGAAGATTTTGTCCGCGTTTTTTACCGCCTCGTCGCCGGAACTTCGGGGAATCATAGGCAAGCGTTCTTGCCTGATTAAAACTGGAACACTTCATACAAATATTTTTAGATTACACGATATGACTCGAGTCTTCTGATATGTAACGATCAATTGCACAGTGGCTCATTGGACAGTCTTATCTGTCTTCCATTTATTAATGATATCATTGCAAAACTATCATAAATCTTTAATTCGTTTAATATCAATTTTAACGTAAAATTAGAATAACTTATTATAGTTTACTTGCGGCTTTTGTAGAATTTTGAACAATTGCGTAATATTGTATTGATATTAATCGATAAATTTACATTTGCGTTTGTCATAGACATCCTGTCACGTAGGCTATCCAAATTTATCTAAGTGACGTGTTCACTTAGTGCAATAATTTCCTATGCTTTGCTGATCTCGCCCACATGTATGAACATTCCGATTTTCCCCGAAACACGAACGGTACCTATCGTCATGCATTTACGGCGTCTGCATGCGCATCGGAAGTACGCGCAATTCCGTCAGAAATCTCTCGGATGCCACGCGTGCTATTCACAAACACCGTTGTGTTTGCACTATGAATCAAATGGGAAAGCCGCCGTGTCGTCAAATGAATCGCTAGAAATTTATGATCGACATTTCCTCATACTTAAAATAGTTATTCTTACATTCGTAACAAACACAGTGATTATTAACTAAAAAATTTATGTATGATGCTATATTTGAAATCGAAAAGAACGAGGTAAAAAAATATTTATAACAGAAGGCGTCGACTCTTCTCCCAGCGCCCATTGCATCCGCTATTTCGGGAGAGTTTCGATATACGATTCTCAAAAATTTAATGTATATGTAACCCCAGTGTAATGTTTAAATATCCATATAAAAACAAATTTACATTTATAACAGTAGGTTATATAAAAAATTTTAAAGAAAATTTCAATTTTAATTTTATAAATAAATTAATTTAATTTAAAAAAAAAAAAAATGTGCCACAAAAGGCGGTACAAATTTTTTGCTGTATATATATATATATTTTTTTATGACAGATAAAATAATTTTTATGCGCTTTTATCGTTGATTGTTCTAACGCTGATCGTTTTAACGCTGATCGTTCTAATAGCCTGTAAGGAATCTTGACGTCAGGCGGTCAATTCTTTCGCGTCGAGACACAGAGAGTAGAGGAGATGGTGACAAAAAGTTCTGAATGAAGTAGACGTAACATCTCGAACGTACGTCGACGTGCGTACACGTTTGTTGTAAGGGATACACCATAAAAGGCGATACTATAATTAGGTTGTTCGTGAATTCATCGAACTAAGATTAGAGATCTTCTCACGCCCGATTAAGTTGCGACGCGTCGTGACGTGTTATTTCGCGTGTAGCGAGTGTATATCATGATCGAAGAAAAGCAAATAGTCGTCTGATTTAAACGCAGAAGCGCAGCGGTTTGTTAAGGTAATCTCGATACGATTGAATCAATTGGAACAGTTTATTCGATGATAGAGACATTTACTATTTTAATAAAGTATGACACATAAAATTTGCGATTATTGTAATGCGTAAAATTGTTTGCAATATTATGCGCAATAATCGACGATGGTAAAAAGGAAAATACAATATGCAAATTAAACAATGAAATATATTATAATTATAGTTGTGCTATGAATTAAAAATTATAATTGATTAAATTAATTGTTTGCACATTTGTTTAAGAAATATTGAGTTGAAAGATCTTTTAGCGTTTTTGCATATTTTATATAATGATAATTTATAACTGCACAGTAGAGAATCAAGTAACTGAATTTAATCTAAAACGCAAAGTGCATCGAAGAGCAATTACAACCTATCCGCTCTTCGTGTACTCCTATTACAATATTTAATACGTTCGGGAAATGCTCCTGCTAATAATGAAGATCTGATCATTTTTACATATTTAAAAATATTGGCAAGATAAATTGAAGTTGCATCGCAATATCGCAATATTTGAAGTCTATAAATACTAAATAGCCATTACAAAAATTAACATTATAATATATATATATATATATATATATATATATATATATATATATAT